AACTTTGTTCCCCATACTATTCCTTATAACGCATTCAAATTCTCAACGGTTGCTCGCGTAACTTTAACACCGCGTTACAGAACGCGTGACGCTTTCGTGAAATAATCCTTCGCTTTTGCTCGAGAGGTGAGCTTGGGATGCCTGTGATCCAGGATTTAGTCAAGGGGAGTTCGGAGAAGTGTTCCCCTCCTGAGGGGTCCGAGATTTTTGAAAATGAGGGAAAATTCAGGGGGTTCGACTGAACCACCCGAGCCACCCCTGGATCCGCCGCAGTTCATACGATATAATCCTCGCTTTTATCATCTTTTTTAATTTTTTCTTAATTTTTTTTTACAAGTTTTTCTTTTATACAGTTAACTGATAACACCGCACGCGTTACAAAAAAGGTCGCCAAAACAACGTTAAAACGACCGTTAACAACAAAGCGGCTACGGAGAAAATGTAAGGAGGCTTCACATGTTTTATTCCTCGGTTTTATTGTCCTTTTTTATTTCTCTTAATTATTTTTATAAGTTTTCTTTTTTTAACGGCCCACGCTTACGCTTAAAATTGGATCTTAAGATGTTAGGTATTGCCGTTAATAAACTTCAGACCCCAATATCACACTGTACACTTGGGCTGCCTGTGCTTTAATCCAATTCGTCGCTTTCGCGATGCGAGAAAACCTGTCTAACTGGTTGTCTGGAGTACAAATACCACGTGATATTTGTACTCGGCTTGGGTGTTATTTGTACTCTGCAGAGCACAGTTGGGTAACAATTGCTGATATTATCAACAATAAAATTCAATTGCTATTAACTCACTTAAATGAGCAAATTGCTACAAACTGATTATGAAGGAGGAAAAATATCATCAAGCTAACCTGGCAGTGTTCACAGCCATAATGAATAAATTCTCTTAAAAGAGCACCATGGATATCCAGGGTTGTTGGATAAAGATACTTGATTTCATATGGAATATCTGGTTTCTATAGAATGAGAATGAGCACGAGATCATTTCAGCAATGATCGTTCCAGACGTCAATTCATAAACAGGATAACCAGCGATTTTAAGTGTGTTAATAATGTTAATGATGAATCCTTCAGATGGACAATATTGTAATGCAACAGACTGTAACATCTCTCATACGTGTTCATGTTGCTCTCTAGAGTATGTAGCATTTCTCAATACAAAGGATGTAAAATGCTCATTGAGTAACTCGCTAGTATGGTAAGATACTAATCATGTTCAACCTTTTAAGAAGAATATCCTCTTTTTGGCCAACAAGACTGTTGGCTATATATGGCAACATTCATAACTCTGGTTAAATTAACAGTCGTGATTAGAATTTCTCTCTCTTTTTTCTAACTTTAGCAATTCTACCTTAAAAATTAAAGGGTCAAACACATTCACTGGATGTGAAAAGGTCATTCCAACTGTACTTTTGCAGAGGAAAATTATTGGAAAATAACCTTCTGTCAAAGTAGCAGAAGGCTCGAGATTAAAGTGAATGGGTGACACAATATAATGGAGTTACCATACTAATTGAATCAGGAGCAGTTGACTTAAAAAATAATTAAAATTGATTGACATGAAAACAAATTGAAACAAAGAAACCCAGAAATAGGAAAGAAAATGGAGCCTGCATGACTTTCAGTAATTTTTTCTTCATTTCTATGTGCGCTGTATGTTTGACGGCATCATTAAGTTACCTTTCCAGTAGTAAGGGTAATTTTAAGATGACAGTGACCATCCACATGAGATTTTGAAGAACGCCCTTCAAGCTTGAACCACTTATCAATGCCAGAAGCTGGAATTTCCTGAAAGAGATTTTATCCAATACTTATAAGCTGCAAATGCAATATTGGACAGAAAGAACGCGTAGAAGAATCATCTATCACAAGATAGTTCATACTACAATAACCGAGCCTTGAACTGAACAATGATTTGACAAGTCCATGCAACAGACTAGTAATTTTAGAACATTTACTACGGGTATTTGCAGGATGGTAAACAATGCCACCTGAAGCTGGAAATGAATATCAACTTTATTTAACTTGACGATTTTGAAAGGAAACATGTCATCAGTGCTTTTGTTTGTTCAAAATAAGGTAGGTATGTACACAAAACTTGACAAACCAACAATCAAATGAAAAACATCTGAATTATTCCAATAAGTTAAAGCAGTAGATATCATTTTGTACAAGGAAATATATATGGACGTATGGACGTGTTAAAGAGATGTTTCTATGACGATAGTTTACCCCCTCTCTTGACTATCGACGACAAACACGTTATACTGGTTTTTCATATTTCACATTTGAGCCATGTAAAAATTAAAGAATTTTGCCACTCCAGCCATGTTGGTTGACACCAGTGAGCAAGAAAAACCTCCAGTAATACAATAAACAAAATTATCTCTAAGAGTACAACATTAAACTCTATGATACCAGTCATGTCTAATAGTAAAGTATCAAAATTAAACAACAAGAATTCTATGTTGGCGTATGTCTTTTCAGTTACAGATCACAGATGACATCAAAATCTAGAAAAAACAAAAAAAGTGGCACATGATGCTGAGCTAAGTGTGTTACTGAAGATGTTTCTATTGCATTTTGATGTCTCTTGTGGTTTGTATTAATGCACCGGTGAATGGGAACGTAAAATCTTTTGTTTACAAAATACAGAAGCAAACTGTTTTTAATGGTCGGTTTATCTATGCATCTTTCTTCTGAGGGATCATACAGGAGAACCAATCAAAGTGTTGAAGTGTGTGTAATTCAACTTATTTTGTAATCAGCAATAGACTGCTAGGGAAATTATCATTCTCTTCCTATTAGTTACCATCGCAGCAGTGGTTTCTGACTATTACTATATCTTGTAGCTCTCTACACCTTTCCTGTTGTCCAAATTGTTCATAAATATTATCAAAATAGCAATAAAGACAGTAGTTTAGATTGGACTGATTTGTACCTTAATTGGTATTTCAATGTATCCAAGAAAATCATCAGTATTGCCATCCTCCCCTGATTTTCGAGCTGACTGCATGACATCTTTGAAAAATCTATTAACAGATGAGATGAAAAAAAAGTGTTGTGTCACATGATGTTGAGTTCCCCATGAGTATATAAATTATATGAAGAAATTTAGGACATTCAATTGAAGACTTGCTAACCCTTAAAGACCTACATGTATACACAGCCTGCTTCTAAACATCTAAGACTCTTTCATATAGTTCTTAGTTACATTTGCTATTTCCAGTCTCTGAAAATGTAACCAGTATGCACTGTAAACATAATTAAAGTCACTGAGGGGTAGAGAGAGATGATTGCAGTATACCCATACTTACACTATCTAAGAAACATTTCCTTCAGTAATTAAATGTTCCGTAAAGAAATAGGAAAACATCTAGAAAAACCTTTTTCATTTGTTTATTTTTCAAATCTTTCCTCAAGTCTGATGAGCAGGTGTCCACACAAGAATTTGTTGATGGATTTCAAGTGTATAGCTAGATTAACAGCTGGCAGACTGCATTACAATAAATAAGAGGTCAGGGAGAAATTGGCACTTGGCCAAGCCATTAATAGCATCAATGAATGCCCAACTTTTAAATTTGATCATTTCAACCCACCAGTAACATTTTAAAACTTAGATTTCTGAAAGGAAGTTGAACAAAGAGTGAGGAAAGTACTTTATTGTTTATATTTCACCTTCCCATTCCAGAGATCCCTTTAATTTTTGAAAGTTTACAGTCTTCTTCCTTAAGTAATGCCTTGTCGTCACAGTCCCTGGAATCAAGAGTGATTATAGTTCTATAGGAACAATTGGGCTTTTTCAAACCAAAGGAAAGGACTTGCATGCAAAGACTTAATAAAGAATTAAAATACAGACAGATGACATCATTTACTAACATTGCTTGGTAAAGCACCAGGCAACGAATACACGTCTTATTGTAGAGTTCATCTTTTTTTTGCTTGGTGACATAATGCTAACCATACTATTCATATGTTGCAAGTGCAGCATTAGTAGAGCTCCCTTTTTGTTCAAACTTTAAAACAAAGAAAACTGCATTTACAAACTGTATTGTTCTAGCCTAAACAAAGTAAGTAGTCTTACCGGTAACTATCATATTGTACTGTAACTAAGTATTGTGCTGTAATATTACTATTTTCCTCTGTTTATCTTGTTTAGTTTTTCTTATGTATATTGTGTCTATAAATGAATTAAAAAAAGATGAGTGAAATAAACTAAGCAAAGCTTTCTTCTTATTAGCCTTATTAATGGCTAAGTGAAGTCTACAGATCTGGACAAAAGCTTTTTTATTTAACTATTTTCCTGAGGCATGCTCATATACTAAATAAAATATCTCCAAATGAACTGTGAACCATGCACTGAATGTATTCCTGTCTTATTTTTTCACTTGCAGTATGAATTTTTATGTAAGACTGCCCAAAAATATTCAGTTGCATCCAAAAACATAAACAAGGCAGTGGACATTTCAGACCATTTCACTTTAAAAATAGTTGTTCCAAACACAGTGAAGCAGCAAGTTAGATCTTTGCTTTCAAGAATTTGGGGAGAAATGCTACAGCTAGACATTTTACTCAAGGTAGTGTAACCAAGAATACTTTACAAACAAAACAACAATTACCAGTATCATAGCAAATGTCAAAAAGAAGAAGGGTTTTCTTCCATATAAATTTAAAATGTTTCACAATTCGAAAAATGTTTTACCATTCTTAAAATGTCCAGGCTTAAGAAGTTTTGTTGGTGCAACCTAAAAATGTATGTTTCTTAATCAATTCACCAGTGTATGCAGGTAACAATTTGTTGTAGTGGCAGCAGGATAAATAAAACGTCCAATCTTTTCATAGTGTACTCACCAAATGTCAAGGTGTAGTTTTTCTTTTTTTGAGTTAGTGACCGTCCTGCAAAAGGTAAGGTGAAACTACATATAAGGAATTGTATTGGGGCTGTGGAAATCAGAATACCCTTAGTCAATACAATTGTTGAATCAGAGATACAGATACCTACTTAAATGCAAAATATTGTGATTTCTTAGTGCCTGGCAAATTAATTGATTGTTCAAAGCCTGTTTAAACAACTGGCAGTAACATTTAATGACTGAAACAAAGCCCATCCATTTTGGTGCTCAAAGCAGAAATAAAAAATTACAGGAAGGAAGTTCAAATCCAAAGATTCTTTACCTGTAGGACACCACTTCAAAAATTTACCTTATACTGAAAAATGTCTTTTTGAATTTTTTAGAATTTAAGTTCCATGAATGTGACTTTATGAAGGCAAAAGGTTGGAAGAGGATGGAACTTTGGAAATGCACGCAGGTAGAGGTACTTAAAATATAGCTTCTAAAATGCGTAGCGGACTAATGTTATTTATTGAGTCTTGTTGTGTCATTTTGTTATTAATTAAACAATAACTGTGGGAGAAAAACAGTTCGAATGGAATGTGTCATTCATGAGTTATCCAACTTAATTTAGTGTTTATCATATTCATTGTTTTGTGCTACATGAATGATCGAGTCAATAAGTTCAAGGTTTTGGATGCCCAAAACATTTGACAAGGAAAAGGAGTGTGTCATCAATTCTGTTCTGAAATCTACAGTTTACAAGAACAAATGGACATTACAGATTTTTCACCAATGACAAGACCAAAGAATGCTTAATATTTGCACCATTGAGCCAGGTGGACTATTTCTAGGTGAAAACATTGGTGTGGATGTGCAAGAGTTGACTGAAAGCAGTTCAGTATTTCAAAGTGTAACTTTCAATAACTGTAATATTGAAGTCATTACAAATTCTATAAACTGCAATAATATGTGAATTACCCAACTATTCTGTTACAATCTTTGAAGGAAATAAACTTTTGTTGTCTGCATGGGACTTTATTTGGTTGGAATTAATTTATTCATGTCACAGGATTTTTCTGGAATCAATAGACACTTGGATATTGTGTCCAAATCTTTAAAGATTTTGATACGATATTCAAATCTTAAAAGAATTTCATCTCCTTGGGTGTCCAAATGCATCCGCTGTGATGCAGTATATAGTTGTTGATCGGTGCAGAGGGCTTAAGTTATGAATTATTATTGAGTTTGAGAAGTATTGTTGTTGAGTCCTGTCATTCAATCCAGCGTTCTCACTATCCAATGCATTAAGGTGAATTGTGAGTTATGCCATCACATATGAAAGGCTGCTCAGCTTCTCAAACTCATTAATAATTCATAACTAAAGGTGATCATCCAACCAAGACATGCCAATTTCATCACGTGCTTTGAAACCCCAGTGAAACACTGGAATTAGTTTCAAACAATATCAAACCCATGAGTTTCAAACAATATCAAACCCTGGATTTGATAAAGCATCAAAATCTAGAGAAGTCATTTCTTAATTTAAATAACAACAACAAACCTGCCAACAACGTGTGAAAAACTCATAAATACTTCCAATTTCTTTTATTCCTGGAGCACAATTGAGAAGCAATTTAAAAAACTCCAGCATCGGGTTTCATCAGGGTTTCCAAACATTCAAAAACAATAAAAGAGCACTCAGCTTGCAGCCTTGTGCTTTCATCAGTTTTCTCATGGTTGGAAACCCTGATGAAATGAAACCCTCTCACCCATTTTTGAAAAAGTAGATGGCACTTGCAACTCACATCATGAACGTTTCATTCCATACTGGATTTAAAGTGTTTTCTTTCACTGTTGTCATGTGCATAGACTCCCCATCAAGAACATCTCGAATTGTGCTCTTAGACTTCTTACGATGCGTTTTGATATTCTTTGTTTGCTCCTCTTCCTTATCATCTGTCATCAACCCTAGCATGCAGTAGGGATCACTCAAACCTGAAGAAATAATAATCAATAATTTTCCATATGCTTCATTTCAAAAAAATAGAAAACAATAAGGTCCTTTTAGAAATTAACCAAGAGATCACCCCTCATCATTTCAGGGGTCACCTCTACAAAGTAACACCTCTTTATTCACCAAATCCCTTAAAATTTTAGTTTCACCCAAATGTTCTCCTATATAATTGGACATGGTTTGGAATATTAAAATAATTTGACTGTCTAGACTAGTATATTTTTAAGGGTTTAACCATTTATCTCTATATCAACTATTTATTTAGTGCATTTTCCTTTCCAAATATGTACCAACCCTCTTACACCTAACTTTCTCATCTCTGCACACCTTTTTTATGCACATGTTCTTGTTAACAAACATTTTAAAAAAAGCTTCCAAGCAACAGAAAAAATTAGCACAGTGGCTAGATCAATTTTTACAGTTTCATACCATCTGCATCTTTTGCCTCCAGATGTCTGGCCTCAACAACTAAATCAATTAAAAACATTGAATGGTATCTGAACAACTGAAGTGATCATTAATGTATATATTATGTATCTTCCATTAATACAAGAGTTTAAGCTTAATCAGTTTGCTGCAAACACAAGACAAAAAGAAATTCTGAATTGAACTTATAACTCTTAACTATTGATCATATCAGCTGCAAAAAGCTTGTGGTATATTGAAAATGTATTTGCAGTAGAAACACCATTATTATTCCCAGTATACTTATGAGATATTATATATAACAAATGGCAAATTAATCTTTAACCAGAGGGTGTAGTTTTTGATTTCCACCAGAGAAAAACTAATTTAGTTCTTTATCAATTTAGTCAATAATTGTTGTGACTGCTCACGTCTACCTGGAAAAGTGTCATGGTAGTCACTGAATATTGCAGGGTTGGGGATCACATAGGAAGGAGCCATGGAAATGAAGTATTAATTACTATAAATAGTTTTGTAAATGTTACCTTCAACTTTTATCACACTCGTTGGAGGCTAACAAGATATTAAAATGAAAGTCCAGTATAAGTGGACCTGACAGATTGATGAAAACTTTTCCCCAAAGTTTGGGTGTTAGCTAATATTGTTGTTTTGATTTGTTAACAAGCAAGTTTCACACCTTCAATGACTATAAGACCTGTAATTAGCTGAATTTAGGGTTTACCTATTGATATCTACTTGTATAAAAGTTTATGTTGATTCATTGTAAACAAGACTTAATTGTCTCCTCATTAAATTATTAAAATACTATTAAAAGAACATACTTTTCACACAACTTACTTCTCTTTCTTTAGTCTTGGCATAAAGCATTCGATGAGTCTCTTCAGATATTTTTAGGGCCTGACGTGAAAAATAATGATCTGAATTGATACAATATCATTTGAAAAGTCCTATTGTGAACTTACAGTGGATGGCATTTACAAACATCAAAACAGTTACAGTACTTAGAAAAATATAAAATATCCATGAGAGAAACATGCCTTAAATGAACTAAGCCTTAATGTGTAAACCTTGCAAACAACTGGGAAAAATGTTAAAAAATTACGGCTTGATAAACAGAAGCAATATGATTGTCAAACTGTAAAATATCATCAAAGCTGAAAAGAAGATGATTTTAGCATTCTGCAAACACATGAACTTCTTTGTGCAAGGGTGAAATGCAAGTCCTTTACATACGGATTAATTCAAAGCTTGAATTATATCATCACCACAGTCATCCATTCCCCCTAGCAAACAATGGGCATTTGACTGTTTTGACTGTTGTCCATACCCCGGGTGGGAATTTTAACCTTGACTACCTAATGCCTTTGTGGGGTTGGAAATTTTAATCTTGTCCTGGTGGGGTGAGGAATTTGAACTAGCAGAATACATGTGTTCGACTTCAAATATATGGAGGAGTTTAAAGATAGATGGGAAGAGTCCACTTTGGTGGGCAAATAGTCTAGAAGAAAGGTTTCACATCGTAAAATGATGCTCACAGAAAAAAAGTTGAGCAGTAGCACCAAAAACTACATGTGACTTCACTACATTCTATAATATTGATTGATCACACAGGAATCATTCAATTAAAAAATTTTGCTTGAGGCGGGCACCTTAGCACAATTTTGGCCTGAGGGGGCAGGAATTTGAATAAATTAACCAGTCATCAAAAGTTCAAAAGTCTGAGGGGTTGCCCAAGGGGATATGTTGAAGCTTCAAATTGCTTGACACATTATGCCTGAGTCCTAGGACCGTAAGAAGCTCCCTACAGTTTACCCTAAGGCTTATGATTCAATCTAGGGCCCTTGTTCCAATAGGCCCCCCTCTCTACTAAAAAGCACACCACTTAAATTTGTTTTTGTTAATAAGTGCCCCTACTGCATAAGCACCCTGACATTTCAATGAGCACCTCTATTCCAATAATTTGTGGCCTAATACTGTTTTAGCAATAGCATTGCTAGAGTACAATGAACGCTCCCTACCATTTTTATGTGCATATTCACTGTAAATTTGTTACTTTTACAGTTTCTGCCATAATTGTTTTCTTTAAGATAAACATCAAAGCATTGTTTTGCACATTCTGCTGTTTTTTAAAACAAGAAATAAGTGCTCTGTCCCTCACGTTTGTATCATAAGTAAACAAGTGCCCTGGGCCCTATTTCAAATTGGTACAGTATCAAAAGACACTAGGACTTCTTGGTGCAAGGATGTTCAAACACAGTGAAAAAAACAACAAGAACTTCATAGCAGTTCTTGCCATTAAACTGACACATTTGAGTGTTTTTAAAATAAATAGTTCAACAACCCTGCAATGTCCTTTTATGAAATAGGACCCTACTCTTTTAAACAATTTGCAATTCAAGCAATTTGTAATTCCCTATTAAAATTTTAATGTCAGCTATATGATGAGTATTTTTAACACATTAATTCTGTCCTTAGCTTGGAGAATATGAGGAAAACTGGGAAACAATATAAGTAGTGAGGATTAAGCCTCTTGTTGTAGGAGCTATAGCTGGCAGGCCTCAGTCTTTTTAAAGCAAAAAAATTAGACTCTGCCTCTCGTCCCCTTAGTGTTCTCAAACTTTGGCAAACTTACAGGGCACATGTCTTATTTTACAGATTGTTTAATAATTTATGATAAAACAATTATTGAATTCCATTTTTGCAGAATACTAACAAATTAGCAAACCTGTGTCTGTGCTATCTGCCTCAGACTTCAGCTGAGGCAGTTCTTGACACTGATATTTCATGTTAAGCACAACATCATCCAATAACTACTCCTGATCACCTGAGCAATTATTCTAAAACATATTATTCTGCTTTACCTCCTGAGCATATACAAATAAATCTCCAGGGGTGAGAGAGGATGTTTTGTCATTTGCTCCAAGCTGGTGTATGACAGTATACAATAGTTCACAGTATAAGGCACCTCGCTGTGAGAAAAACAAACAACACATCTTATCAAGTTGACAAATTTACATGACCAAGTGTCTCTGAATTACCACATGCACACTTCAACTTATGCGCTACATACTGTTTAGAGCCATACTGAATTTTGATTTATTTTAAAGGATACAATATATGGTACAGAAATATATACATCTTTATAAGGCATATGTGCCCCATCACCTTGAGGGTTGCAGTCCTCTTTCTTGTAACATCATGGAAGAGAGAATATGCCTGAGGACCCATTTCTTAATTTAAAGTCTGGTTATTTATGGAAATTTGAAATTGCTTTGAACTACATTATTTTGATAAAACTCAAAGAATAAAGATATCAATCTTGATGTATCACATAATTAATTCCACCTGTTTGTCATTTAATGCAGGTTCAGCTTCAACAGATGATAACACCTCTGCCTCACTTTGGTCACCTTCCTCTGAGTAATTGAGGTTGTCATCAGTGACTGTGTCCTACAAACCAACATATCCTAGAGTGAAGTACCATTTTGTTCAACAAGGACACAATGAATAGACAGTTATAAATTAGCACTCTATGTTAAGAATACATCATTGCTTGTCTCATGGTGTAGAGTCATGTTTCAGCAATAGACTGTTACTTTTATTTCTTCGTTAGGTGACAAGATTATACAATGCTAAAGAAGATATTGATCAGCTGTTAAAGCCTGCTGTCATCAGAACATTTAGTCTCAATCATTTTTCCAACTAGTAGGTGACTAATTCCCTCCAACATCTACCTGCCAAAAACTAACAGTTTATTAATTTTATAGAAGTCACACCATCACAATCTACACTTGATAGGGGGGAGATCACAATGAAAAAACAAATGCATCTTTCAAATCAAACTAGTAATGCTTAATTCTTGCATTTAATGCTCAAATAATTAATGATTAGTGGGGAGTGTACCAGTATCTTTAATTGATACCCAAGTATGTAACAAACCAATCTCAAAACCAGTCTCATGTGTAGCATCTTATCAGAGAATTTTACAGATAATCAATTTTAAACATTTGGCAAGAAATATGTTACCCAACTATTAATTATTGTGTTTGTCTTTGACAACTACAGCAAGGTAGATAACAGTGATCGCTATTAGGAATTGAGGCTTCCATGAAATAAGCTAATGTCTGTCAAGTAAAAAGTATCTAATATTTTCATATAAATTTACTGGGGTGGATCCAGGGGACTGGTTCAGGTAGTTCAGTCGAACCCCCCTAAATTTTCCCTCAGAACACTGGAAATAATTTTTCTGAAGACCTAATTTTCAAAATCTCCTGGGGGAGCATGCCCTTGGACAATCCTCTGAACCCTCCTTGACTTAAAATCCTGGATCCATCCCTATTTACAATGAAATTGAACTTTGACCAATTGCTTTGACACAACATTAGCAAAACCATTTGAATATTAAATATCTGAAAAGATAATTAATTCACACAACATGTACCATAGTACATGTACCTTGATGTTGTGGTTTTCAGCCTGTTTTTTACTCCAGTCCAGTGAATTGAATTTTTCAAAATAGCTGTCATCAAAGTTTTTAGCACTATATGTAACAAACAATTAGAGAGGTAAAAGAAACATTCTTAATTTTCACAGTTTTACAACCATTAAAAGTCTTAGAATAAATTCCAGTAAAATGTAAAGTAAAATAAACTAAGATACTGTACAGCTTGGCAAAACTTTTAAACGGTTGCAGACCAGAACCAGGAACTGGCAGAGAGTAAATGCCTCCAAACAGGTTTAAACAAATCAAAATGTTAGGATCATACTACACATCATTTTGGCTTATTAACCCTTAACCCTGTAAAATGACTAGCATCTAATTTCTCCAAACATTACCACAGCTGATTCTACATGTAACATAAGGTTATAAGAATAAAGAAAAATTAATGATTGGCAGTTAAAGACACTGAACTGTTAACAAATTGTCCTTGACACTATTACAGTGAACAGTGGTGAGAATATGCATACTGATGTCAAGATGTAACAAGTTTAAAAAGTGCAATGCCTACAATGAGTGACAGTGATGACTGGTTTTCCTTTTTGTGTAGATCGTCAGAAATTGTCAGTCTTTTATTGCATGCCAGATTTTGCATGGCTTTGCTTTAAAAATCCCTTCTATAATATCTCATTTCACTCTCTTTCCCTTCCTTTTTTTATCAAATTTATATTGTGACTCCAGACATATAACTGCAGGTGAAAAGGAAATAGCAAGTTAATTTCTGGGTAAGGACCTATGGTATGAAAAGTAATTTGTTAAAGTAATTTGTTAAAGTAATTAGTATAATAATTTTATGCATTATAAACAATATTGTTTTGATTAACCTGTAGTAGTAGCTTACAGGTAATTTGAAACTGTTTGAAATAATTACACCAATGTTCATATCAGAGGGATGCCAATAAAGACATGAAACCTTAAAACTTTTATATTTGGGTTAAAATTAAAACTTTATTGCCGGTAATCACATTTTAAAAAAATCACTTTCCAAGGCTTCTCTTTATGCCTTAGGTGCACATTACTTGTAACACTTTCAAACCCTTTGAAAATATTTGTATTTTCTTTAAATTGGTAATTTAATGGAATAATTGTGACAAACCTACCAGGTTTTGGGAAAGAATTGAGAGTTGCACAATTGGCTTTATTTTTGATACCTTCAATTCTGAGCAAGTGCAGTAGAGAAATCCCTTCCTGTAGTCTTAAACCCATTCATGCATTTTTCACTAACCAAACAGGAATAAGAAATTTTATTGAGTATGCATGTAACTACAGTGGAATCCCTATTTCTCGAGCCCTCGAGAAATCGGGACACCACAGTAGAACCGTAATGGGAATTGAACAAAGCATAATACGTGTCAATTAAATACAAAAAATATGAAATAAAACAATTAACAGAAGTCAGTTAAGTAAGCTGTCACCTGACCATGGAGAATAATTATTTGGAAAGTAATAACCATATCATACTCTTCTCTCTCTCTCAGTTACGTTTAGTTTACAACAAAAGTTTTTAGTTGTAGCAGTTTAACGTATATTACAATGTTTACAAGTTGCGTGGTACCACGACAATCAAACAAAAGCAGGCCAATTCAATGAGCCGAAACAAAGTTTCAAGCAGGAAAAAAAAAATAGATATTTTGGTCATTGACTTAACAGAATGCAACACCGAAAACCATGGTGTAAATGTAGTTTACACACAGAAGACGAAAGAACAAAATAAAGTTCAGAGATAAATATCCCACAGGAGAAGCTTGTGCCTCCGACGTACTCGAATACCAAGAATTAAAATTTAAAAACATTTAAAACGGCCATTAATCTGATCATTTGTTTATAACCACATCACGAAAGTTTTTGAACGACTATAGTCAATTTCTTCCCATTGTCTTACCGCTGAAATGGTGTTTGCCCTTCTAAGTACGAGGCACGATCCGGCATTGACAATTTTTGACAAAGACCAAGTTTTCTTGACTTTCGCAGACGTTTTAGTTGTTTTTCGCTATCATCAGTGTCTGCTGAATACATTTTTACTCCTTTGCTCTGCTATAAATTTCTTCAAAGACGCTGAATACTAAACATACTATTTTTGTTTAGAATACTCAGATGATAACTGAGGGAAGCTCACACCCCGCTAATCACTAGAAGACTATTAATTTGCATCGCAAACAACCTTTTATTTAGTGAGAATTGATCTTTTAACCAGGTATGTTTTGAATAGCGCGAATGACGCACACAGCTGTGTTTTCTCAGAGTGTCTGATTCAAAGATAATACGCTCCACTGACACGGACAATAAGGTCAAAGAAATTGCATACTTGATTTCACAAGGTTATACACCAATGGCGTCCCGTCTTGGGAAACCAGGATTTAAAAAAAACCGCTTAAATCAAGTGAAATCGGTAAAATAACGACACCAGGGGCAAACAACACACGTATGGAATAAGGTAAGCCATTTTTATTTAATATTTTCACTTTTAACTATCTCTATGGATATCTTGTAGAAAATCCCATACAAATCCTTTTTAATCGATATGCAAATTGTGTTCCTTGAGTGGTTCTCAAAGAGAGCTTGGGCTGCCTGTGGTTACACATGTCGGGTAGGGAGGAACAATTAAACAGCTCAAAGATACTAACCTCACAACACTGAGTTCATGAATCGTTCCACTTTCTTCGGAGTGCGTGGAATGCGCGCTCTTTGATACACTTGACTCCTTTCTCCACCGTTCCCGCCTCAACCGACCAAGTTTCAAGCGTGCAGCCATGTATATTATAAACTCGTTCACAACGACACTACACAGTACAATCTCCTCGTTTCTCTCGTGGAGCGTAGAAAGTAGTAGAAAGGTCTCGTGCTAGTCGTCCACTAGGCTTTGTTTCAAGAACATAGACTCGCTGAAAATTCGAAGACATACATATAAGCGAGAAGGTTCACAACCACATACAGTCTCGAAACGACTCTCGTAACACAACTCAGAGGTTTCGTACGCATATCATATTATGCCGGCAGGTTTACGCTCTGCCGTTACATTTAGTCGTCATTAATGCGTGATGCAAATTGACTCGAATGTAGTAACCTCACCTTAGTATGTTGTAATACTTGGCTTAATTGGATATATCTGTATATCAAGGGATTTTATAAAAAAAATTCATTACCTGAGGCGAGGGAATTCCGCGTTAAATTGCACGTGTAAATCGATTCGTGATTTGTGCGATATTGGTTATCAATGTAATTTAATGCGGAATTCACGAGTCAGGTAACGAATTTTCCTTGAATCGCATCATGGAATAAAAATAGGAAAACAAGAAAACAGCAATAATATCGTTTCTTTTCATCCTGAGCGCGGGCCACAGAAAGCCATTTCGAAGTCAACTGTCAGAACTGTCATTGCGTTAGTGAATTAGGAAGCAAGGTCAGTCGTGCAGGTTAGAACCTTCGACATCTTTTATTTGAACCTTGTTTTTACATTCGTTTTCAAACTTTTTAAACAAGCTTCGCACCATCAAAGGATAATGGTGCAATTTCACTGAATTTACAAGCCGTTTATTTCAAACATCTTTTTTTCAAATTTCCAAATAATTTGCTCGAGAAGGAAAATAATTTTTTACCTCTGGTGGCAAAACTGGAAAATCGATAACGCACGATATCGGTTTTCAAGTGCAATTTAATGCGGAATTCACGAGTGAAGTAATGGATTTTCCTTGAATCGCATAACTGAATAAAAATGAGAAAAAAAAGGAAACAGCATTAGTTAAAATTGTTATGTTTACGTAGATGCGAAACAATATCACTTAGCCTCGTTTTCAACTCGCAATTCCACCCCAAATACCTCGCTTCGTTAACCAATCACAATGTCACATTTTATTCAATGATGCGATTCTCATCTCATATCCAACAAGCGCGAGTGGAATAATTGTTGTTTTTTAAAAAACGCCCCCAAGATATTAGTATCTATTACAGATACGACTTGTACCCAAACCCTGACCCATGACCCACGCCTTGTACCCGCGACCCACGGCCATTAGTCAAACTCAAAGATAAATCTAGGAAATCCTCGACAAAGATTTGACTTTGATCAATGGCGGACGTTATTTCATCAACAAGACGAAGAAGTGGAGGAGATGTAGAATGATCCTCCCGTAATCCGTATTGACTAGGCTCGATTACCAGCCGCTGTTCGGGAACCGGAGCCCGCGCTCCTCCCCAAACCCACTCTCTTCTCGGGGAGGAACGAAAAAGACCGGACTCAGAGAGCGGTGGAAATCGAGCCTATGGGAACCTATGGGAATACAAGACTTCCAGACGCTCTGAGAACTCAGTCGGACGATTGTACATGGCCCTTTAAAAAAAATTGAGAGAGGATAGGTCACGGAAGAAATATGGGTGGACCTCTGTGGTTAGAAAGAATGTCATGATCACCAGCTTGAAATACTTGTTCAGATTGAACAGATGCATGGGGATATTGTCAAAGCGTGGAGCTTTTCCTTGACAAGTGTCTATTGCTAAGCAGCAACCTTAGGTTATTAGTATATTGTATTTGCTAATTTCCCTATCGAATTTAGTGTTGTAAACTTTGCCCCGTTTATCATATGAAATATAGCTATAACCAACGAGAAACAGTAGAGTCGACTGAGTTTTTATTCCTCTCATGCATCCATTAAATTACAAAGGGTGTGAAAAGAGCTACTCTAGCAGCTAAAAAAGAACTCCTGTTTTTATACTAGATTTTAAGCGAAATAATTGGTTGTCTTGGCATTACTCATGATAAAGCTACAACCTCGGACAAAACCTGTTGAGACACATTACAAAAATACCTATTTTTGGCACTCACCCTGACAAAAATGCTTTCCGTCGCAAATTCAAAGACTGTTTCACCCCTCCCCTATTGCAATGTTGTTTGCGGTAACACAAGAAATGCATGCTTGAGCTGTTAAGCCCCAACAACATTGTAACAGGGGTGGCGAGGAGACAAGTTTGTTCCTTTTGGAAAGGATTGTTGCATGGTGGGAAATTAAAAATTGCATTGAAATGTCTCAAAAGTTTTGTCCGGGGTTGTAGACAAACAAACAAACAAACACTTTATTTACCGAGGGTAAAATACATTATTACCGGTTACCCGGTAGTTTACATAATGGTCCCCTACAAATACTCCTAAATATAAAAATACCTAGTTAAAAAATTCATAATACTAACTTTGTACTTAAAACGTCCTACTGATCTTAAAATGCTCTATCGAGGTATTTTCTTTAATGAAATTTTTCAGTAACGTTATCTTAAAATTTGAGTGGGAAGTTATGTTTCTAAAAGAGTTACCTACTAGTTTATTCCCTAGCCTACATGCACTTGAGTGGAAAGTTCTAAGCCCTGAGTTTCTTTTACAAGATGGTGTTAGAACATCATTACAGATAGCAGATCTAGTACAGTAACCATGTGTAGATCTGACATATTTAAAATATGAACTAAAATATTCAGGACAATGACCTTGGCTAACTTTATGTAGCATACAAAGTTGAACGCGTACAATGTCATCAATGGGTAACCAGCCTAATTTATTAAAAAGTTCAACGGAATTATCGTTGATGGTGGCGTCCAAAATTAATCTCCCGCATCGTTTTTGTACTTGTAACAACCTTTGAAGGTTTTCAACCGAACAATTACCCCAAACAGTACAACAGTACTCAAGAATTGGCTTAATGAGAGCATCATATAACATTTTTCTACAATCTATAGTTAACGTATATGTGCACGATCTTTCGCAGTAAAGCACTATTTAAGCAATAGTGAAAATCAGACCTGAAAAAAATTCAGGCCTGTACGGGATTCGAACCACTGACCTCTGCGATACTAGTGCAGCGCTCTACCAATTGAGCTAACAAGCCAACTGGGAGCAGGCCATCAAATTAATTCGACATAAACCCGTAGATGATAAATCAAACAACAAACATATGAAATACATATATATGAACTGCGGTTATGAAACGTATATGTGCACGATCCTTCGCAGTAAAGCACTATTTAAGCAATAGTGAAAATCAGACCTGAAAAAAATTCAGGCCTGTACGGGATTCGAACCACTGACCTCTGCGATACTAGTGCAGCGCTCTACCAATTGAGCTAACAAGCCAACTGGGAGCAGGCCATCAAATTAATTCGACATAAACCCGTAGATGATAAATCAAACAACAAACATATGAAATACATATATATGAACTGCGGTTATGAAACGTATATGTGCACGATCCTTCGCAGTAAAGCACTATTTAAGCAATAGTGAAAATCAGACCTGAAAAAAATTCAGGCCTGTACGGGATTCGAACCACTGACCTCTGCGATACTAGTGCAGCGCTCTACCAATTGAGCTAACAAGCCAACTGGGAGCAGGCCATCGAATTAATTCGACATAAACCCGTAGATGATAAATCAAACAACAAACATATGAAATACATATATATGAACTGCGGTTATGAAACGTATATGTGCACGATCCTTCGCAGTAAAGCACTATTTAAGCAATAGTGAAAATCAGACCTGAAAAAAATTCAGGCCTGTACGGGATTCGAACCACTGACCTCTGCGATACTAGTGCAGCGCTCTACCAATTGAGCTAACAAGCCAACTGGGAGCAGGCCATCAAATTAATTCGACATAAACCCGTAGATGANCCCTCTTGAGGAGAAATATCCTAGAGTTCAACTTTTTTATAAGATAATCAATGTGTAGGTTCCAGGAAAGATAGGGGTCAAACAACACCGGGAAGTTTTTCTCCAGCTGATTCCTCAAGCCTTACGTTGTCCAAGAAAAGCTCCAACGTGGTTATTTCACTGTGATAAAGTTTTTTCGCAGTACCAATAAGTAAGTACTTAGTCTTTTTACTATTAGGTTGTATTTCATTAAGTTTAAGCCAGCTATTCGCTTTACTTAGACTCACATTAAGAGATTGTTGTATCTCATTACGATCGGCACCAGTTAACCAAATAGTTGTGTCGTCGGCATAGATGTCCACTTCAGTTTCACTTAGCAAAAGAGGTAGATCGTTCATATAAACAGAAAAGGGGAGAGGGCCTAAAATTGAGCCCTGTGGAACTCTTCTGTATAAGGACGCAGGACTAGAGAGCACACCAGAGACTGAACAAACTTGTTTACGTTCGGATAAATAGGACCTAAACCAATTCATAGCTGTTTGACTAGTGTGATACTTGGTGAGCTTTGCTATGAGAATATCATGACTGACTAGATCAAAGGCCTTACTAAGGTCGCAGTCCAGAAAAACTGTTCCCACCAGTTCACTGTTATCCATAGCCTTTAGACATATGTCAGAGATATTCAATAGTGCAGTTTCACAGGAATGATAAGGGCGGCGGGCAGACTCGGATTCTTGTAAAATAACTTGTTCACAGTTAGATAACGAAGATAAGAGGTTGCTACATGTCGTTCTAAGGGTTTAGACAGAATAGGCAAAATAGATATTGGGCGATAATTTCCTCTTTCATTTGTTGAGTCTTTTTTGTGAAGTGGCGTTACCTTTGCTGCTTTAAAGGTAGCTGGAAAAATACCTTGATTGATGCTTGTGTTGTAAACATGGGCCATGCTCGTCGATATCGCCGGCAATGCCTCCTTCAATATCCGTATGCTAATACCATCCAATCCTATTGCTTTGTTTGATGGAATTTTCTTCAGATCTGCTTCAATGATTTCTTTAGTAATAGGCGGAATACAAAAACGAACTTTATCGTGTATACGCGTATTGACAAAGTTTGACTGAAGAGTATCAAGCTCAGACTGTGTGGTTACTAAATTGTCTGATGGCTCTGATGTTATAACTGACGAAGTAAAACATTCATTAAAAGCATCCGCAATTTTCGCAGGAGCGCTTATATATTTCTCAGTAACTTTGATGATAGTAGTTGGCGCCTTTAGAGATGGTTTAGCCGGTGCACTCAGAAGTCACTAAAGATTAAGAATGAGCAAGTTCAGAGGCGAGCCACCAGAAGAGTTTTGAGTTAAACACCTGACCAGATGTCGGACTACGAGAGACTGCTTACTTTAAATGTGTCGCCTCTTGCTTACGACAGAGGTATCTTGGATCGTTAGTTCGCGCCGCGGCCAATCTGCTGGCTGCTACCTTACCGTCCTGCCAGCCCGTGAGACCAATACTTTTCAAGGTTCATATTTTTTTTTCGTAATGTAAACTTGTGGAATATGTGCAATGCAGCTTCCTAAGATTATTTCTCGCTTGTTATCGATTATTATCTATTACAAAATTATATCCCCACAAGATTTGTTGAAGTCACCTTTAATGCCATTTTTTGATGCGAACCTAATCTGTTCTTGGTCCGTCTCACGGAATTTTCTTTGTCACCATCTTAAGATTACTTTCTTAGTTTGTCTATTCATGAATCTGTATTTTCACAATAACTGTAGAAATTATTGCGCGCTCTTTGGTCAAGATCGTAGATGTAACGCAACGCTCAGCAATCCCCACCATGTTGGAGGAAAAATTTCTACTTTTAATACAACTTCAAAGTTTTAAAATATCATTTGTGAATTTCAAAAATCAGTATAGTTGGAAAATTGTTTTGAAGAAGAACTAGTCGAAGTGGAAGGGAAAGCGGAGGAAAAATCTTCCTGAAAAGAAAGCTGGCTCTCAAATCGCAACGTTGACAGATGACGGCGCCTCGTGGTCATACTGTACTTTGGCTTTGGACATTCTTGACGTCATTTTTAAGATTAATAAGGATTGTTGAATTAAAAGAAAAAGTCTTTCACCCCCATGGGTGGGCACCTCGCATGGGTCTGAGTGTCCCATTCGCACCTTTTCCTTTTGGGCAGCCCGTTCTGGGGTTCAGCTCTAGTACAAGCCTAAAAACAATTCAGACTTGTACGAGACCAAGTCGGACCGACTGAAACTGAAAGGGTTTATCATAAACCAACAAAATGACCAGTTCCAACGATCCCGCTGGGCTTGTTAGTTTAGTTGGTTATAACGAGAGATTTGATGGGCGTGCTTTACTCTCACCCATTGAGTTTCAAGTTAGCGTGACTCGCACTCCCACTAATAAAAGCACTTCTTATCCAAGTTGCGGTGAAAATAGCAGAATTCCCTTCATAGAAAGCGTTATGTTTGTTGTGTTACTGATACTTTCATTTCAGACTGAGTTGAGCGCAAGAAGCCTCAAGTTACTTAAGTTATACTTTTTTCCAACTTTTTTTCTTGTGCATAGCGGCTAAATAAATGTTCTACTAAAAGATCAGTAGTCTTTTATGACATCGTCACCCAGCCGTTGGGTCTCAGCGTGTCACGTGGCGTGAGAGTGATGTTTCAGGCTTATGCGAACAGCAAACGGCAAGGTTTAAATTTCACTTTCTTGTTAAAGTTATGAACCTTCACATTTAATGTAAATGAGATGTTTTTATCTTTCTTTTTATTTAGATCTGTAAACGCATTGAAAGAAAATTTTACGAAATCACAGGGAAGTCTTGTGGTTGGTTTATGAACAGTTTATGAAGTGGGACTTGTTCCGAAATCTCTTATTCATGTGATCAAGGGTCATTATTCTGCTCCCTTGTATATTCATTTCATCATTTTCCTAAATACTTAATGGCTTACCTTCAAGGTAGTTGCTCGTGATATCCCTTCCCTTTTTTCTGATAACATTAAGGCGTCTAGCATAAAATATAAAACTCAGTAGGACCGGGTCGAAAAGTTAATCCCCAAGCGTTAGCGATACGATTCTCTAACCACAGGCACCCCAAGCTCATGACCCAAAACGAACGCAAACATGACGGTTGTTTACCAGCGGTGTTGTGTCGAAGAGACACAACGCAAAGGGTTCGTTTCCTCGACTAGCTTCTCTATTTCGCGGGTAGGGATTGCTACAGATGCTTTTTTATCGTTAAGGAAAATAAAATTTTGTTGTTGTTGTTGTAACCGAACCCAACGAGTTTTTACAGAGGTAGAATGGAATGTTTTGTTATATAAATAATTAAGCAGTCTCGGCTTAACTAGAGTGTCCACTTCTATGTGGACACCGACCTTCTCCTTTGTAGTGAGTCATCTTCCACAAAGCAAGCGCAAAAAAAGTTTGAAAAGGGAATCTCGACATTTAAGACCCCTCAAACTCAGTATTTTATCAGATGTTTTATCACAAAGTCGAAAATCACAATACAAAACGGACACACCTTTCAAGGCATGTCATTTTTCTTACTGTCCTCATCTTTGGGATCATGTGTGGGACGTTTTACTTTGAAACGACCAGAGTTTAGGCCTCTTTTTTGGCGCCATTTTGCCTGCTGCTGGAGCCTAGAGACTAAGCTAATGGCAAGACGAGTTTGTTGCACGGATTCAATGGCAGTCTGTACATTGTTAAGCCTGTGAGAAGCATCACTGTGTGGAAAAAATTCATCAGTGTCCTCTTCTGGTGGCTTGTAATACAAAACGAAGATGCGGTAAACTTGAAGCATTACAACCAAGGCATTCTTGACCGTCAGAAAGTACAAAGTATCATGGTAAATTTGATAATAGGCAATGACTATGAGACGAATGATAAGAAAGGGGCCATCCTGCATAAGCATTGGTATAAGCAAACTTACGAGCTCAGTGTAATCTTTCGTTTTGCCAGCAAAATTGTCGACACCTTGAGTAAACCTTTTCCAACAACGAATACATCTTCCTAGGGGGGCATGCGTGGCACCTTCCTCTTCATCCATGCTCGTTACTGACTTCATTACAGGTTTGATCTCTAGTCCAGATTTAGTCTGAATGTATCTAACCCGAATTTCTTCTTTTTCTTTGTATTCTTGGCTTTGATTCCTTTTATAGGCATACAAAGCTGTTGAGGGCGCCACTTGATTTCTCCTTCTTCTAAAATCCTTCTCTTCTTTAACTTTTCTGAGCTGTTCTTCCAGCTCAGCCTTCTCTTTTTCCAGTCTTTGTGCTGTTCTTTCCATTGCGTAAATAGTCAAAGGGAACTGAAAGAGACTAACACTCCAAAACAAAATAACTGCATTGACAAAGTGATGGTTCTGAAGCATTTTTGGGTTAGTTTTTCTGATGTCGTCCTCTTTAATGATCTCGGTGAATTCCATAATGTCCGCTGCTGTACCAATGTAGATGAGTAGCAGTTGGGATAACTGATCACGTGATATTCCCCCTTTCGGAAGAAGCCATCTGCCAATAACTAAGATGAGAACCAGAGCTTGCTCCATTGTGTATAGTAGTCTTTCGTCGTCTGTGATGTTAATTCCTTGTAAAAACTAAAAACAAAAGTTATAGAACACTTTATTCCACGATAACTTAAAGCGACTGAAAAAGAGCTCATTTGATAGCTTTTTTGATCTCAAAGCAATAAAATTACATGTATGAATTACTTGCTAAAGAAAACGTGATTTATCTGCGTATCCAATTCAAAAGGGATCAGAGTTTCAAATCACTTAGCGGCTCCAGTTGGTGACTATTGATCAGGGATTCTTGCTCATTGAAGGTGATTAGGAGTCAGGGAAGTTTAGGATATAAGGACTGATTTTGTACTTTACCAAGTACCGAAAGACCAGTTTGACCTTGAAGTGGGCACTCATTTCTCACTAAAGTCTATTTTGAGCTCTTTTCTTATCTCAATTTGCCAAGTATTATATAAAATCTAATAGACTTCAGCCTCTTTGACACAAAACGATTATTTTACAAACCAGTTACCAAGAACGGAAAGGTATCATCATATTCGTGATTGTAACTTGATTAAAATAACAAATGATATAGTTGCGTAGCGTATGTTTTTCGGAAAACGAGAAGAAAAGAGATGGAGCTTCGATGAAGAAACCGCCCGATGGAGGTCTTCCACCTCCCGGTTAGCTCAATTGGTAGAGCGCCGGACTGTTGTGCGGGAGGTCGTGAGTTCAAATCCGGCCGGACCAACACTCAGGGTCTTTAAATAACTGAGAAGAAAGTGCTGCCTTTGTAATAATATCTGCAAATAGTTAGACTTTCTAGTCTTCTCGGATAGGGACGATAAATGGAGGTCCCGTCTCACAAGCCCTTGTATGTGATAAAAAAATTTGTGGGACGTTAAAGAACCCACACACTGTTCGAAAAGAGTAGGGCACGTAGTGCCCGGTGTTGTGGTCTATCTTTGTGTAGTGTCTATCAAATTGATGGGGGGTACTGCATAGAAAGGGCGCATTATAAATGAGGAATTCATTCAAATCCAATTCAGTCTTCGAGTTCTTGAGGGACTTTTGGGTAGCACTCCTTCCAACACCGTTCTATCTACCACTTGACCCTACTTGTTATAGAACAGCTTTTTATAATGAGATTGCCATCACACACGCTTTCCATTCCTTTTGCAGCTTCACCACTCGATTTTGTGGCTCCCTTACTTAAGAATCTTACTTAATCTTCAATGAACACACACTAACCTGAAAGATCTCTTCGGTTTCATTAACAGCTGTGATGCAAGTTGAACTTGCATCGTTACTGGATGCGACGCAATCCAGAACTTCTATTTTAGCAATCCAGTCACAGGGAATCATTGTCATCAGGTACAAAAACATGCTTGGACAAAACCTACAATCGGCAATTTAAACTGCGTGGTTAGTATTCGACAAAAGACAATTTCTAGATGTATTTGTTTAGGTTTAGTTCCGTTCCGTCTAAAGAAACGAGCGACACTGAATGGCATCCTTGCCTCTGACAAAGATTCTTGATAAAACAAGGGTAGCAACTGTTTATGAACCACGAGTTGTGGTTTTGGAAGGGCGGCGAGGTTACTGGGGTGTCGTTGACACAGCGGCTCCCACGTTTGGAGACAATTTTGCAACTGGCAGTTTGACCCATGGAATCTCAAACGCGACGAGGGTAGATTTGATGTATATTTTTCCGAGGTGGAATTACGATTTAGATGGTTTCTGGATCATAATCCTTCTTCAAATTACCAGTATAATTTTTATCATCGGCGGCAACTTAGGCATGGGTCGCACTTGGCAAAGTTTGGTGTGAATGTGGTCACTTTGGTGTAAAAATCTGTCATCGGGACACATTGCCGAATGCGACCCTAACTTTTCCAGTTCGCAAAAACTTTGAAAACCGGCCAAAACATGAAAGACGCCGTAGTGCTTGGGTGGGGCAGGCAGATTTCGGAAAACTCGGGCTAAAAAATAGCTATCACAGCGGTAACTGCCATCGCTTGTCAGTAAACAGCAAACGACTCGACTGGTCGCGGAACTGACCAGGCATATGGCGTTCGAAGTAATCTTCGCTGACGTCGATTTCTCACTCTCATCATAGCGGCAGTCAAAACAGTTAAACAGGCGTTAACCCATCTTTCATAGATCATACGAAAGACAAAAAAGTGCTCGTGATTTAACTGGATAAGAAGAATAAGCATCACCGTGATCGTTATTAGGGAACTTTAGCATCACGTTTACGGCAAACGGCGAACCTGAGGAGGCCACGTGACCACCGCTTT